ATGGTTCAAGCGTTTCAAAAATCAATAAATTTTCATAATAGCCACAAAACCAGATCAAAAACACAAAAAAAATATATAAAAAATCATTATTTTAACACGGCGCACGAACTTTTTCCTCAACCTAATAACTGTTCCATATAGAAAAGTTATGGATTTTTGAAGTTTTTCCTTCAAAACCGTTTTTCGAAAACTATTTTTTTGCTATTAGGGTTCATTGTGCCACATTACGATCCCTCTTAAATTTCATCCGATCGAGTTCAAAATTTTACCATAGGTACTCAAGATACTATTGTAGGGTTAATTTTTCAGAATTTTATTTTAAACTTTTCTTTACCGATTTATTTCTAAAATTCCAAAACTTGATTTTTGAGATGTTTTTCAGTATTTTTCCTATAACCCGACAAGGAAAGGTCTCGAAAAAATGCCCCTAAAATTATCTCTCCGGAATGACCTTGAGTACTTGTGGTAAAATTTTGAACTCGATCGCATGAAATTTAAGAGGGGTCGTAATGTGGCACAATGAAAAATAGAGTTTTCTGAAAAACTGGTGAACGACAATACTTGAAAACTTGAAACAAGGACGAAAAGTGTCCCATTGAATTTTCAATTAGTTCCGAAAATACGAAGCCCTAGCGACCTTTAGCTTTTATTTCACAGCATATCTACGGAAAGCCCAAAAAGTGGGAAGGGGTATCCTTAAATTTCATCGTAAATGCTACTGACTATCCGAAATTGCTTAGGAGCGATTTTCAGAAGCTATCTTTTTGGTAGAGTGCTTTCCAGTCTTCCAAAATCTTGCAGATACGCCACCGATTTCTGAATTGTTGTACGCATGAAAAATCGGATATGCGCGACATCCGGTGGTTAGCGACCTTTAGTATAAAGTATTTTTAGTATATACCAGCGGGTCATCAACAAATTTGGCTTAGGGAATCATAGTTAAACTCCAAGTACTTTTCAACAGGAAACTTTGGAACATGTGGATGTTACAGTGTTAGTTAAGATCCATGACACATTGGCACGCAGCTGTGAATCCTCTACGCCATTAACGAAGGGCTTAAAGGTGCAAGGTGAAGCCTGTTTTATTTAAACGTTTAATGATCTGTATTGCGGCGTTCAATCGGTTAAAACTGATTGGACAAAAAACAGGGGCCTTGTTAGAAAAAAGAAAAATCACATAGTCACGTGTACATTCCATCGCTTATTGATTACGACAACACAGTTAACTCGAGAGTTTGAATAAGAGAGCAAAAGATATCATCGAAGAGAAACATATAAAAGTCCTTTACAATGTTTGCTCTACCTATTAAAACAAATTGTAGTAGTAGATAAGAAATCAAAAAATCTTCAACACCACTATGCCTATTCAAATAATAAAAGACGTTTGAAATTGTGAGCATCAAAAATGCCGCTTGTTGAACCGATACCAGCCGATTTAAATGCTGATGTCGAAGAATTAGCAAAATTTTTTAACGAAACACTTGGGTTTTGTCCAAATAGCATATTGACAATGCAGATTCGTCCTGAAATAGCTTGTGCATTTATTAATTTAAATAAAGCTGTTATGACAAATACTGGTCGTGTTACATCACCATTAAAACGTTTAATTGGTTATATAGCAAGTGAAAATGCCACATGTTTATATTGTCAAGCTCATACTATTCGTGCAGCTGAACGATATGGAGCTGCTGATGAACAAATGAAACATATCTTAGAATATAAAACACATCCAGCATTCGACGATAGCGAGCGTGCGGCGCTCAATTTTGCTAAAGCAGCGTCATCTATTCCAAACGGTGTTAACGAACAAATAAAACAAGATTTAAAAAAGCATTGGAATGATGGTGAAATTGTTGAAATATTAGCTGTTATATCATTATTTGGATATTTAAATCGTTGGAATGATTCGATGGGTACAACCCTAGAAACACAAGCGATTGACTCTGGAAATAAATATTTAAAAAATACAACATGTTGGAATGTAGGAAAACACGTCTAGTCTATTGAACTTTTAGACCTAAATTCGATTATCGATTAAGTATTTGTTGTTTCGCATGATTTAAAGTAGGTTAAATAGGTTTTTATACCAGAGCATATTCTCTTTTTAGCAGTAGTAAAAATAAACCAAACTAATGTACCAAGTTATATATGAAATCGATTAAAAATTTACTCTTCTGCTTTGCTGTTGTTTTCTGCAATAATTGTTTATCGTCATATCTCATGATTAATGTTTATCTTTCAATTAATTTATAATTTACTGTGCCACTCTAATGTGATATGATTTATTCATTTTTTCCTTCGAGAACATTAAGCAATAATGTTTCCAGGTTAATAGAAAGCAGAACATCGTAATTTTAAATGATAGTGGCAGGACTTGTAGAATAAATGTATTCATATTTTTGCAGCTAATGTGCCTGATACTGAAATTTATTTCAACTAGAGCTTTCAAATAGACAGATTCATCTTCCATGAAAAAACTCGTACATATGTGAAAAAAAATTTATTTTCTACAGTTAGATATGTATACGAAACCTACTGAAAAGTTCGTCATGACCTGTACTTTCCAGTAGGTTATATATATATATGGCGTAACGTTTATTGAAGTTACAACATCGATGTGGGATTTTATCGAAGTTGCAACTTCAACGAACCCTTTTATCGAAGTTACAATTTCTATAAACATACTTTATCGAACTTACAACTTTGATAAGGTAGGTTATCGGAGTTGTCTTGATTAAGTTAAACGGGAATAAATTAATTATTTGAATGACATTATCAAATTTTGATAGACAAAGTTAATTTGTCAACTAAACAGCAAACATCTGTTTGTCTATCAGAAATATACAAGTTATTCTAAAAAAGTGTGCAGCACAAGTATTGGTGTTGTGACGTAGTTTGGAATAAAAATACAAACTTGCAATCACTATAGAGTATACGATTGTTTGTAAACTGTGTGTTACTCATGTATAAATCATATCTATAAAGCTATTTATAAAACTGAGACATAAATTTTGAAACTGAAACTGTCTAATAATGGGAGTGGCTCATTTTCAGTAGTAGTATAAATAGATGAATATGCACATAAAGTATACTGGTATTTATTTATAATCTCAAATATATAATTCTTCTCCACTCACAATCAACGCTAAAGACCTGAACAAAATGTTGACTTCATCTTCATCATCTTCTTTGATTATGAGAAAACGTAAATCTCTTGAAAAGAAAACTCAAATATCCTCATCAATTACATCAATCATCTACTCTATGTTGATTGCCCGTTTGCATTTTTATTTCAAATTATAGCACATCTATAGCTGCACACTTGTTTAGAATAACTTGTACATATCTGATAGACAAACATGTGTCTGCTGTTTAGTCTGGTAGCACTTTCGTCACGTTAATTTTCGCCACATAGAAAAAAGAACTTTCGTCACATGTGACGAAAGTGTGTGGCATTTTTGGGAAGTACGACCCCACACTTTGGTCACAAGAGTAATGAACTTTCGTAACCAACCGTGTAACATACCTACAACTATCGTCAAACCTCATCGCGAACTTTCACCACAACCCAGAAAGAGCTTTCGTCACACTAGTAACATAACGGCAAATAACGTGTTATAATGTGTGACGAAAGTGGTGCGGCTGTCAAAAAGTTAGACACTTTCGTCATAACCAAAAACGAACTTCCGATACATAAGGATTAAATTTCGTAATCAAGATTTTTGCAAAACCTCTCCAGCGACAACAGTGCGGTGTTTTTAAACATCCAAATATTTGGGTAAAATATATGGCCTCGAAACTAGATCTGAGAATCGAATTCAGGACTGTAGGTATGCAAGTAACAACGCCTGTGTGCTAAACTAGCACCTAATCCTCTCGGCTAATCTGACTACATCATTTTTACTATATTTTTCGTTTTAGAGATTAATTGAGATGAGTAGGATTTTAAAAAAAATTTTGATGGTATGTTTGAAAAGGTTGAACTTCTCTAAGAAAAACCATTAAAAATGTCCTGTCTACACCCCAAATAGGGAAAAGGTTGTGCTCTATCCGATATCATTTTTTTTCTTCCTTACGAAATATTTTCTGGAACGATAAGGAAAGACATTATTTACGTTACTTTCTCTTTTTCTTTTCAAACAGTCGGCAGTATTTCTGATTTTTCAACACTATTTCTTTAAATTCAGCGCTATCTCAAACATTTCAAACTACTGCTAATTTTGTTTCAAAGAGGAGATTTCTTCTTGAGTAAAATGTACTTTTGATCACCAAACATATTTAGATATAAAAGATCACCAAAAAAGGATATGTTTGATCACCAAATTTTTCAACATACATTTCACATTTTTATTTCTCAACAAAGTACAATGTACAACACAAATATATTCATTGAGATTTTAACCAAACGAACAATATTTTACAGTTTTATTTATATCCATTTAAAAATGTAAAGCTGTGCCAACTTTCTTGAGACGCTTTTTTGCTTTTCGTTTGCCTAAAGGTTGAATACGTGTTTTATCGCTAACTTGATACAAGTCAAATAAAATTGCTAATCCAACAGAATGTTTACACGAATATACTAATAACAATACAACAAGCGAACAGGATTGTTGCCACACTAGGAAACTATTGAATATAACCCACCGACGAGAAGGATAATTACCTAGCCAATAATACATTCAATAGTTTCCTAGTGTGGCAACAATCCTGTTCGCTTGTTGTACTGTTATTAGTATATTCGTGTAAACATTCTGTTGGATTAGCAATTTTATTTGACTTGTATCAAGTTAGCGATAAAACACGTATT